TTTGGTATTAATCTCCCCCTTTCTTCTCACAGGTTGTGGCAATGCAGATGTGCATTTCATGCTGGTAGAGCCCAAGGTTGGAAGTTTGGTTTCCTTCCTTCCTTTTTTTTTTGTTTTTAAACGTGATCGTCTCTTTTGGTTTAGAGAGGCAGACTGGTAGACTTTGAGCAGAAAGTTTTAGTGTCTGTCTGAAGTATATTGCAGCGGGCATTGCATGATGAGCACGAGGTCGTTAAAAACACTTGAAGCAAACCAGATGTCTGTTTAAGAGCTACTTGGCGCTGGAGGGAAGGGACAGGCGACGGGGAGGAGGACGAACGGGGCAAATGTGGGTCTTGGCAGAGAAAAGCAAATGGGATAACCATGGCGGTCTTTACAGAGGAGGCCTGAAGTGGGACTGGAGGTTTAAGCACTTACTTTGATGTTTTCACGATTTTCCCGTCTTTTGAACGCTATCGGTCTCAACGATCTGTCTCTCGAATCCTTGATTTTGGCCTAAATCCTATTTTGTTTTTTACCCCTGAAGTCCTTTCTTTTAATCTGCCATCAGTGCCTCAGTTAGTCGGCTTTCTTTAGTTGCTGACTCTTTGCCCTCTCGCCTGTAATACCTCTTTAGGATGGCCTAAAGACCAGATGCTAAATCGCTGAAAGCAGGCTCGTGTTAAGAAAAGATCCTTTTTGTCTGTTTATGTCCACATTTTCTAGAAAGTTCATGACTTTATGTTGTTGTTGATATATTTTTAATCCATTGTTAGTAAATTTTTAATGGGGAAATTGCTGTTTTCCTGCCCATTTCCTGCCTTCGCCGTACTTTTCTGTGTTCCTGATCTTATCCCTGAAGATATGTGTGCACCTGATGAATTAGTTTGTTTCTCTGAAAATCGTTGGGAGCATAACCCCTTTACTTGGCAGCCAGCCTGAGGGTGTTTTTCTTTTGCTCGGCTGTAATGATTTAAAGGCTAGCCAGAGCTGAAGTTGACTGGATTTGATTGTGTTGGTAATATTTTCCTTCTGAATTGGGCATCTTTTACATGGCAGGCAGATGTTGCATCCTCGCTTTTCTGGAGTTCAGTAAGCTACAAGCTCTCAGCATCTTAAACCTGCCAAGATGGCATAGAGCCTGTCTCATTCAAGAAAGGAAGCCAGTGTAATTTCCCATGTGAATCACCTTGCAATCATTTTAATTTAAAATGTCGTTACCTGAACTCGCATTAGAACAGCAAGCCAAGAGTTGGCTTAATAATTCAATAAAATTTTGATTAACTTGCTTCTGGGCTGACTCGTAGCGCTCTGGCACACGGCGAGCTGATGTGAAGGTGGGTCACACTTGGTGTTTGTTTCGACTGCGCTCACGCAGAGACGGCACACTCGGGGAGATGTTTGCTGCAGACTTGACTGAAAGGAGCTTAAGTGCTGTAAGATGTGAGCAGTGGCTGTTAATGAGATTAGGTCGGCATTCAGGCCAACACTGAATGTGAATCACAAAGCAGCTCTGATACGGGCCTGATCGTGCATTTCTTCATCCAACGTGGCTGGATGGGGTGTAATGGGTGTCTTGTTTTATTTCAGTTAGACATGCAGACCAATTAAATACAGGCCTGTGCTTTTACGAGTAGGACAGCATCAGGTGAACACTGTAGCTAGGACTGTTTTAGGGCATTGTGGGCAAAAATGATTCTCACCACTGGACAACGAAGCTCTGATTCTGTTATCAAATTTCATTTGTAGCAGCTGTGCAAGAATAACAAGGGCAGCGCTTTTCAAATTCTTTTGCTGCCTCCAGGTCTCCACAAAGCTCTAATAGGTGAAAAAACCACACCTGACTTTTTGTAACCGAAGCTGCGGCATCACGCCGACACGTTGCTGTTGCATCGTAATCAGCCTGCGCACGGGTAACGGTGATGTCATTATCTCTTAAGGAATTCCCCCCTCGTCTGTTTTCATTCCTGAGACGTCTCTTTCTTAAAAAGCTTTCCGCGATAAACATTACACCCCATCAGCAGAGTGTTTACAGCCGCGCACGTGCATCGTGTGGAGTCGGCGATTACTTTTCAGGAAGAGTTTGTGAGGAGGAGCCTTATTGGCAGGCGAAAGCAGCGCAGGCATCATCTTATTATTAGAGGTGGTTTGAAGTAATAATTCATGTCACTGAGACGTGTAGTAAATTTGTCAGGTTTGAAAGCGAATGGTGGAAGGGAAAGAATCAGAGTGCATGAAAGGACGAGGAGGAGGATTCAGGTGCCGAATCATCATAAGGCTGATTCAGCGTTTGCATGCAGGAGCGTTTCTGCCATGCAAAGGAATGTTTTAATTTTAATAACAGTAAGAAAGTAGATGGGTGTATAAATATACTGGACCGATAGTGGTCACGTGTGCAACATTCTGAGCAAGACGATGTTTAGTAAAGTCACTTTGCAGCATGCGTGTGACATTTAAGTTGCTTTTTACTCTTTGCCTGAGAGTAACTTGGGTTCCTACCTGCTGCTGTTTGTGGGCGCACTGAGCGAGTTAAAAGGGAGTTGTTGGAGTCTGGAGATCCCTGCTCATCAAGAAACGGCATCACACACAAACTGTTTTATTTAACCCTTTAAGACCTACCATAGAACCAAGTCCGCCAGAATTTATATTATATGTTTACATGCTGTGGAGCCATTTTTGGGAGCATTTCAAGTTGCTATACATCAATACAACCATTACAGTCTAAATTTTAATAATATGTCTGCATTAAGTGCATAGTAATTACATAAATTGCAAAAAAGTGCAATAAACTACAAAAAAATGTA